AAGAGAACTAAAGCTAAATAAGACACTCGAGGGAGGAAGCTTAACTTAATGAGCCAAGTTGTTCCCGACCTTCCCTAATGGTAAGCAGGAGGCTCTTGAGTCTTTTACAATACTAAAGCTAACTCCTAAAATATGTGAGTTCAGTGTGGGGCTGGCCATGGGGCTGAGGCTGGCGGTTGCTCAGGAGGGATCTGGCGGGGGCTGCAGCCAGCGGCAGAGGTGGTAGTGCCTGGGGGTTGGGGAGATAAAAAAATAAATGTGAGTTCCTAATTCCTCTATTCCAAGATGTACACTTCTTTTTAATTCGGAAATTTAATAGAGCGTTTTACAAAGAGTTTCTGTTTGTACTTTTACCTCATTATTCTACCTTTTGACTGTTTTCAGTATCACTCCACAGATAAGGCCATATTCCAGGAAGAACACACTATAAAGTTAAAGGAAGAGCCTTTACTATCCAGTTCTTTCCATTGTCCTGAGACAGAAAAATACTCTCAGGACAATGCAAAGGGCATAAAAAGTTTTTCCGTGGGTTTGATAACCAAACCCTACAGATAGTTGACTATCTTCATGAGTGACTCAGGCAAATCAACAAATCAAAAAAATTCCCACAAATGCAATAATCATCTCCTAACCTCCATCCCCCAAACTCTGGTATCCACCCCAACAATGCAGCCTTTAGTCACACAGCAGGAGTAGCCACGCACATATTATGATCTAGTGGAATGCGGGGCATGATATATTTCTTAAGAATTGCTTTTAACTAATGTAATAAATGATCTCACTAACTTAATTTACTTTAAGTCATCTACTTAGTTAAAATATTTAGTATGTCCACTGAGGAAGAATTCATCATATCTTACCCTTCACAATTATGAGTAATTAAGCGCTCAACTATGAAACTGCTAATTTATTCTTGTCAGTGGGCATGGAAATGTCTTCCTGTGGGAGATGCAGAATTCAGACATTTATGATTAAATATTTTATTAAGTAAAAACCAATACTGGACTATTACAGGGCCTTACTCTTAGTTACAACAAATTGCTCACAGCACAGGGCGGATCCTTCAAATTTATTCACTAATATTAATACACACTTATTTCTTAAAGCAGCTTTTGCAATCCAACTGTTAGGAAAGCTGGCAAAGCCATTCTATTGGCCTTGAAGAACCACAGCTCGCAGTAATGAGATAACAATGGGTGATTTATCTATCTGCCCTTCTGCCGTCCCACCCCCAATCCCATTTATTTGCTGCTCTACCACGGAACTGGAATTCTTTATGCAACAGACCTCAAAATTGCTTTCCACTTATATAGCTAAACTAAAAACTCATTTGATTTAGCTTAGTTAATATTTTATTATATATTAACTGGGGATAAGACTTATCAGCTTGATTGATGTGTATACTTAGTTCCCAGGCAGTACTTCAGTGCCTTCCCTGGAAGAGCTGAAATTGTGGGTTCCTCTACATTTCTCTAAATGGGAACTGGATCTACACGTCGCTGAAGTCACTGAGCCCTCAGGGAAGTGGTTCCTGCTGCTGCTTTTTTCTCCACACAGCAAATGCTTTACTGAATCTTTGAAGAGTCAAGGTATATTCAGGATAAACTGAAAGGTAAATATTTCCTAGGACACAGGTTAAAAGATCTTTTATGAACATTTTAAAAAAATATCAAAAAGAGACACCTAATACTTGGAGTGTTTTATACTGACTAGACTAGATAGGGCAAAAAAGGAAGACTGGTTGGTTTTGTTACCAGAAATAATAAATCAGGAGGAAATCTGAAAATTTCCTAACTATAAGTTCACTGATGTGCACAATGTGAGGAAAAAAGGCACAAAGAAAGCTTAATATAAATGTCTAGCTGGAGCCAGGCCCATAGTCTAGTTGGTTAAGGAAGCCAGATCCAAGTGGCTGACCCCAACATCTGGCCCTAACAGCTTAAAAAACCTGCCTGGCTCATGTGTGGGCCCATACCCCATTATAGGGTGCTTTGTCCTCTCCCTTGCTGGAGAGCTCCCCTGGCAATTAAAACAAACAAACAAACAAAAAACTCTAGCTGTACATTCCATGTAGGTAAAGAAAAAGTTGCAAAAGAACCTAGCCAAGGAGCTTAGGCAGAACAATGAGGAAAGCTAAGGGGAATTTAAAAATCATTGAAAAGGACCTTAAGGAGCAATGTGTTCAACATGGTTCGTTTTTGAGGAGATAGTTCAGTGATGTTGGACAGAATCAACTGCACCAACCAAGGAGAGCTAGAACCAGTGTTGGAACTGGAACTTTTGAAAACTAATCTAGCACTCTTCCAAATGTACTATGCCATCTTTCCAAAGAACTTAACCTCTCAAGGGAAGTGATCAATTTTTCACCTTTTTTGCTGAGGATGGAAGACATAGAAATGAAATTACAATGCAGCTTAAGTTACTGTTAGAACCATCCATAGGTCCAACATCAAACTATGAGTCCCTCTCACCTCATTCTCCACAAACATTTCCCCCCCAATCTTTCTCATTGCAATAAATTCATCTAGTTATGCAAGCCAGAAATCTCAGGATTTTGAGCACACATACACATGTACCTTGTATGCTTTTCAAGTCTCTGGACCTGAACTGCGTAGTTGGCCAAGTGGCATCTGGCTGCCTTAACCACCATGCCACCACCTGGCCCAGTGTAATGAGTTTTTAAGGCTCAGTTCTCCATAAAAATCTTTTAAGAATACTACATAATCATGGGGTCAGCAGGTGGTTTGGTAATTAAGGTGCTGGACTCCCACATGGCCAACCATGGTTTAAGTCCTGGGCCTGGCAGCTTGCTTTTTCACTTTCCCTCTCTCTCTCTTTCTGGAGAACACACGTGCCCTATAGAAAATTAGAAAAAAAATAATAAAAATAAAATTAACTAATTTTTTATAAAAGAAAATAGTACCACACAATCAAAAAGGAAGATAAAATGAAAAATTAAGAGCCAGCAGGTGATATGGAGGTTAAGGTAGCTGGATCCTACATGGCCAATTGTGTAGTTTGAGTCCAGGAATCCACAGCTTGAAAATCATGTTAGGCATGTATGGGTACTTGCTCAAATCCCAAGAGTGGAAAAGAAGGGATTGTGGCATAGCTACCCTCTCTAAGGGCATGAGAAGGTGATTTCTCACTTTCTCACGCTCTCTAGTGAGCACATGTGCCCTATAGCAAACAAACAAAAATGAAAATAGAAGGTCTAAGACAACTTCAACATTAGTATTTCTGGTTATAAACAAAAGTTAAAAACAAATGTATTTATATAGTTTGCTGACCAAGTAAGGAATAGTGAAGAAATAAAATGTTGAAAGTTCTACTCCTGGAGGCCAGCAAATGGCGTGGTGGTTAAAGGTGCTGGACTCCACACGACTGACCACGGTTCAAGTCCTGGACCAGGTGGCTTAGTTTCTCACTTTCTCTCTCTTTTTCCCTCTCAAATTAAAATAAATAAATAAATGGATAAACTAAATTAAATAAAAAAAAAACCTTTAAAAAATATAAACTTCTGCCCCTGAATTCAGAAATAAGATAAGGCTATCTACTATCACCACTTCTATTTAGAACTTGGAGGTCTTAGGAATGCAAAAAAGGGGAAGAAAGAAAAAGATCTCACCTCACACAATTCACAAACTTTATTCAAAATAGATCTAATACCTAATTGTTAAAGGTAAAACAATAAAGCTTGTAGAATAAAACAGAATGTCTTCATCATCTTGAAGAGGCAGCAAAATTTTCTTAAGCTGAACAGAAGGAAATATTGACAAACTGGACTCGACTGAAGTTAACAATTTCATGTTCTCATAGTACTAAGAGATAAAAAGGCAAACCACAGACAGGGATAAGATATTTGCAGTATATACACCCAACCAAAGACTTATATATATATATTAACACATAAAGAACTTTTAAAAATCAGTAAGAAAGACAATTCAATCAGAAAAGGTAAAAAAAAAATTTGAATGGGTAAAACACAAAAGAAGATATCCAATGGCCAATAAGACTATGAAACAGTTTAAAAATCAGTAAGAAAGACAATTCAATCAGAAAAGGTAAAAAAAAAAAATTTGAATGGGTAAAACACAAAAGAAGATATCCAATGGCCAATAAGACTATGAAACAGTTTCAACAATATCAATTTAAAATTATAAATTGAAACTCAGTAAGATACTTTACATACCAAACAATTACTATAATGAGATGGACTATTGACAGACTGGTGAGGATGTGGAGCAAGTGGAACTCTTGTTCATAGCTAGTGAGAACATGCATCTGGTACAATTGCTTTGGAAAACAGTTTGACAATACTGACAAAAACTCAACAATTACCTATACTATTATCTAGCAATTAACTTCCAGATATACACACAAGATAACTGAATACTTATGTTCCCCAAAAGACATTTAGAAGAATGCTCATTGCAGCTTAATAGCCAAAATGGGAAATAACCCAAATGCCCAATGACAGCAGAATGAATTAAAGAAATTGTGGAAATTCATACAAAAGGCTACTACTATACAACAAAAATAACAGAAAGAAGAAAAAGTACTCCAACATGCAGCAACTCGAACAAATCTCAAAAACAGGCAAAAAGTACTACAATTGTATGATTTCATTTATGCAAAGATCAAGAATGATAATGACTGACAGAAGTCAAGCAGTGGTTGCTGGCGTGGTACTGTCTGGG